CACACACACACACACACACACACACACACACGTGTGCAGGCCGCCCACCTGACCTCGACACACGCCAGAGTAGACACGTGCGCATGTGTCCGCTCATTGGTCGCATGCAATCGGCTAAGTGAATAATGGTGCACGGTGCAGGTGCACGGTGCAGGTGCAATGGATGGTTTCTGGTAATAGATACAGTTCGTTCTGGGAGAAAAATTAGCGAAGCCACACCTGCAGGGGCTGTTCACCCTGGAAGCGACCTCGTTGAATCCGAGCTCGTTGATTTAAGTGCTCATTGAATCCGGGTTATTTTTATTGATTTTAAAGAAGAAAAAAAAAATGAGAATCTATCTCATCTCGTTGAATCCGAGCTCGTTAAATCCGAGTTCCACTGTATTCGTTCACAGTCAAGCGATTTTCAAGTCCATCAATCCTAATTGCCAAAACATCAAATCATTGTGAAATGCAGAGGGAGAATGCCCCCCTGAAACCCCCCAAATTCTTTTTAGCCCCATATTGTTAAATTTACTATTTTCAAACTTCAATTGAAATAACTATTGATTTGCGGCAAAAATGAAGGCCATATATATATTCGTATTCAGCATGCAAAATACAATTAGAAAAGAAGTATATAAAAAGTGAACACGAGACGGTACATAAGTTTTTTAAAAACCCAAAAAACTCTGCTTCCTCTTCCTTCACTGGAGCATAAATTTGATGAATTGATTAATTATGCGCACATTTATTGACCAAATTCACCACATACTACTACTTCCGACGTATTGACTGAGACTTGCGCGCGCAGGCCACTCCATTCGCAAAAAAAAATTTAAAAATTTCGAGAATGTAAACCGTTCGGAGAAATAGAGTTCGAAGTTTATTTTCCCGAGCGTTCGGAGAAATAGAGCCGGCCTAAGGGGGAAAAAAGCGTTTTGTCAGCGTAAGCGTACGGTATAGTGGAGTCGCTTTCACCTCACCATCCCCCTCACGAACGTCTCACAATTTTAGTGCAAAACCAAAGAAGGTGAGATTCCCCCTCCTCTGTCACCTTTCAAGATGGTGGCAGTCCGAGTCTGTTAACAATGTTGTGAAGTCCTTTATAATTTTATATTGATCCATGTTCCTCATTGACCTACGGTGATCGAAAGTGAAGAAAATCAGGAAACTCCAGAATCGACCTGCCACAACAGCCAGACAACCGGTACAAGAGTTACCGAGAGTGGAATACAAAGAGAAGGCACTGTGCCGTGACAGAATACCATGTGATTTAGTACTCAATAGAGTTAGATGTGCTGCTTTTTTAGCAGTTACAGTACATGTATTGCAAAGAAAGGTATCATCGTAGTCCATGTTAAGATTTCAACTTTGATGCAAGCAACAAACGACAACATTGATAAGTTTAATTCTGCCTCTGTGTATGTATGTATGTATGTATGTATGTATGTATGTATGTATGTATGTATGTATGTATGTATGTGTGAATCTGTGTGTGTCTGTTTTTTCTGTGTGTGCTTCGTGTGCTGTTGTTGAAATCAGCCCTGTCTTTTTTGGACAGCGGCAATTAAAATCTCAGGTTTTATGTTCACTGATCAACAATTGTCTGGCGACTGGTGAGCCAAGGTGACTGCAATGTTAGTGCAGCACTAAGGCCACGTTTCCATGTGTACATAATGTGTAGTGCACAAAGAACGTTTAAATGGAAATTCAACTAAAGTGTATCCATGAGTGCGTGATGCTGTGTCCGTGATGCGTGAAGCGTATTCGAACGATCGAGGCACCGTTCGAATACGCATCACGGAGGTAAACAGACACCGGAAGCTAGAAATTTCAGATGATTTACAAGAACTAAGTGTCTTAGCCGTTTCGTTTTCACCAAACTAGTATCACAAAATGCCTCGGAAATTCTTCCAAGATGACGATGTGGATCAATTAATTGATTTTTGTGAGGTAAAATCTTGCCATTTATTTTGATCAGTCGAGGAAAGACCACAGGGATGCTCTCAATATGTTTCATATCAAAATGGCGAGGGCTACTAAACGAAAAAGATTGTTGTTTCTGCTCTGGTGGTTCAGGGAAAAGAAAAGAGGGAGTCCTCGACGTTTTGCGGTTTATCCTATTAGCAGAAGGAGACTTTGGAAGGAGAATACCACCATCTGATGCCCCAAATGCACAATCACCCTCAGAAGTTTCAACAGTATCTCAGAATGACACATTCTTTTGATGCTCTTCTTGAACTGTGAGCACCCGAACTTAGAGAGAAATCAACGAATTTCTTCATAGCGTTTTCACCTGAAGAGTGTTTCTTCGTCAATCTCCATCAGTTGCAAGGGGAAAGAAATGTCATTGTAAATCATGGACAAAGTACTGTCCCTTCCAACTTTCCTTTCCGTCGACCCGGCAGCTGGACGTGCCGGGCCGGCTGTTACTATGGACATCCACGCCCGTCGCTGGTGGCGCCACACAGCAGTTCAGCCGGGTTGATTCTTCTCCCCGTCACGGCAAAGGAATGGCGTCGTAAAAAAAGGGAGTGCTTATTTAGGCCACATATGGCCTAAATATGGTAAGAGAGGTTTTTTTTAGCTTATTAAGGCCACCTGTGGCCTAAATAAGGTAAGAGAGGGGGGTTTAGCTTATTTAGGCCTCACATGCTCAAACTACCCTTTTCAGGCAACTGAGTTCGTTCCACTTTCATAATGGTGCACCTTTCTCATTAGTTTTGTCTCAGTGTACAGCTTATAAATCATAATCATAATTAATATTTTCCTTCAAGTTTGTAGCACAATGCGCAAAATTTTGCTCAATCCCAAAGGTTTGATTGAGGGCCAGATTTTTCCTTCATGGAGGGGCAACAGCTAGGCTACCATTTTGGCACACTTTGGTCAAGTGAAAAGGTCAAATCCTCCGAATGGACTTCCGGGTCAAATTTGGGGGGG